TGACGTATATGCGTTTTTCACAGGTTTTCTCCGAATAACAAACCAAACCAGGGAAAAAAACGCGTTTTTCTGTTAAATTATCTTACAAATGGAGATCGGAATCTGATCTCTGCCATTAAAGAGTGCAAGATGGGTGTGACCTGTGACTCTGTGAGTAAAGGAAAGAGTAAGGAGTGAAGAAGGATGGGGGTGTGTGATAAGTTCCGTGCGCATCCTTTGATGACGTGTATGCGTTTTTAATTGGATGGGAATCTTACCAAGTTACCATCTTATAGAACGGAGAAATGCAGATACACCCAATGCAGATTTCATATTAGGCTTTACTTTCATTTTGTATAATATCCTTATTCTTCTTGAAATTGTATGTATGCTTTTTCCTAGCCTTTTGTGTTCTGTAATTTTTGGAAACATAAGAAGAGCTTAGAAGAGAGTTCTTTTTAGTTAGGAATTAATCTAATATGGATGATATTTGATACAATTTTGTGTTTTCTATTTTGGCTTTTAATCATCTACAAAAAATGTTGGGCCCCAAAATTTTTCTGTCTTATTTTAATTTTCAACACTAAAAAATTTTTAGGGGTGAGGATGAGACTTATTCAAATCGAGGTATTAGACCTATACAGTTTTTTCTTTTTCTAATGAATAATTTTCTTTATCCTTCAAAAAATTATATTGATGTTATTAAAAGAATATCTCTTTATATATATAAACTAATTTTTCATTATTCTATATTGTTTCTATTAAAAGAATCAAGAACTTACAATGTAATTGGTATCAATTTTTTTTCATTTTTTATTCTCTCAATTATTCAGTATTATTAGCAGGGAGCCACTTTCAGAAAATGGGGTACCCTCCCCTTTCTGACATTGAAATCTTATTATTGTTACATTGTAGTTGAAAAAATACAATGGGGTACCCTCCACTGCCTTTTCCCACTTCTCTCTCTCTCCATTTTGCACGTACTTTTGTCTCTTTCCATATCATCTTTCCGCTTTTCCTATCTTACATTCCCGTTACCTCTCTCTTCCCGCTCTCCCTCCCTCTCTTCCCGCTTCCTTGCTCCCCTTTTATCTTTCCGCTTCTCACTTCTCAGTGACTATTCAGGGGACCATACCCCTTTCTTTGTAGTTTTCCTTAGTCTCACCACCAACAATTAAGTTTTGATCTGTTCTCTCGTGTTTTGCTGGTGGTGGAGGCGGTGGCGACTCCAGGCTTCGATTGGGTTCTTGAGAGCTCTACCCCCTCCCTCCCTCTTGTACAATGTCCCGGTGGATCCCATTCGGATGATCTTATCGCTCATCGACAAACACTCGAGCACGTCATCAGCCGTGAAATTCAACCGTTGAAATGCGGTTAGTTTCCTTTTGATCATCCACGAATCGACGGCCGTAATTCGCTTCGAAGCAGTGGCTACTACTACTAGCAATCAGGACGACGAGGCCTACGCCGAATGTTGCAGCCACGATCCAAACGATCGCTCCGACGGTCCTTTGGTTGCTCCCGGAATCTGGAATCATTGGTTGCCATCCTATCCGAAGCGCGGTGTTTCTCCACAATTCCTCCACAGAGGCCCTTGTTTGCGGAGAACGACGACGGGTGAAGGTTCAGGAAGATCGTACCGAACGACGGGATGGGGCCAGTGAGGAGATTGAATGACACAATGAAACTCTCTAATGTACTGCAGTTGCCGAAGTTCGAAGGGATCGTACCAGTAAGGAAGTTATGGGAGAGATCGACGTCGGTGATCGATGGGATCGTCGAAAGCTCCCAGGGGATTATCCCGGTGAGAGAATTCTGTCTCTCATCGGAATGCTTCCATTAAGCGAGTTCCCCTCCATTTCCAGCTTATACAAGATTCGACATCTAATGAAATCTGGAATTTTTCCGTTGAGTTTGCAAAAACTGGCAGTGAAGATCTGTAGGTTGGGAGCACTCCATATGTTGTCTGGTATTCCACTGTTGAAAGAGTTCTTAGAAATGTTCAAGTACTCCAATTCCACGGACTTGCCGAGATCTCTCGGGATTTCGCCAGTGAAGTTGTTCTTGCTGAGGTCCATGTAAGTGAGGTTTGGCAAGAGACTGAAACCGGAAGGGATCGTTCCCGATAGTCTGTTATTTTCGATTCGGAACCTCCACAGAGAAGTGCAATTTGAAAGCGATGGAGGGAGCTCAGAGTCAAACCTATTGGAAAACAGAATGAATCGAACGAGTCGGTTTCTGAGGCAGAGACTCGGTGGAATCGGACCGGTTAGAGAGTTGGATAAAACATCGAGCTTCTGCAACTACGAATTCGAGCCAAGCTTTTGGGGGAGATTTCCAGTAAAAGAATTGTTCCAAAGCAGTAAGTCTTTGAGGTTAGGAAATTTGCCAATTTCAGCCGGGATCTCACCGGATAGATCATTGTCCATTAAACTCAGCAAAGTCAGCTCCTTTGACGAAGAAAATCCTTCTGGAATCAGACCTGAGAGGCGGTTATTTGACAAATCAAGCACCTTCGGTGCTCCCAAACCTGAGTAACTTACAAGAATTGGGTCGTAAAATCGGTTCTTGAATTACCAAGCTCTGACGGCAGAAGACCACAACTACAGTTTCTACTGTTCTTTTTTATTCTCCAACTTACTCGGTATTACTCGCCTGTGCTCAGCACGGGCACCCCTCGCTAGGTCTCCCCTTTCGTCACAAATATAGCTCTCATAGTCCGTTCTCAGAGCAAAAATCAAGTCAAAAATCATTGAACGGGTCATCGACCGCTCAGGTCAATAGGTCATTGATAATTCGACTTGGATTGTTGACCAATTCAATGGTTTTTGGCCAATGACTAGGATTGGGTAAAACGGAACCGGTTGCCTAGACGATTTCTGGGCCGAAATGTCTATCCGGGTCAATGATGGTTTGAAAATCATTTTTTTATGTTTTTGGATTTTCACTTTTCAAAGGTTTCTTCTACTATGAGTTTTATTCGAGCGTGTGTGGTATATTCATTTTTTTTTATTTTTTTTTTTTGTGTTTGGTCTTCTTGAAGATCCTCCAAAGTGGTTTAGGGTTTGCCACCATTTTATTTCTTCCTTTTTGTTTTTTCTTTGGATTTTCTTGTGCAATGTTTTTTTTTTTTCTTACAAGACGATCTGCTTTGTCTCTTTCTTTGATTGCATGTATGTTTAGCTCCATCTCAAAGCGGAACTTTGGACTCAAGTTTTTTATTTTTTTCCTTGGTTTTTCCAGTTTGGTGGATTTACTGCCAATTTTTTTGTTTAATGCTTAAGGTCACTTTGGATTTATCTTTCAAGGTTTTGAAATCCCTTGCAATGTCCACCCTTTAATGACTATAACTATAAAGTTATTTCATCTAATTATTGACATCTATAAAAAATGACCCGGAAACGAAACCATTATGGCCACCAATTTCCAACTTAACGGTTCGACCGTTGGGTTCAAACGGATGGTCCATTCTAATAACAAGAATTAAAAAAATAATTAAAAATAAAAATAGCCAAAACCATTGATTGGGTTGACGATTGGACTGCCTGGGTCAACGGGTCATGGACTGATTCAACAATTTTTAACTAGGGACCGAGTTTGGGGTAAAACAAAACCGATTGTCTGTATGGTTCTCAGGCTGAACGGTCTTACCATTTGGGTCAATTGGGAGTTCTAGATGTGAAACAAAGGACAACTATGAAGTAGAACTCAAAACTATCATTGTATGATCGTGTTCTTTTGTATGAGATGCTTTGCTGAAGCAATATTTAAAAAATAAGCACATGATGGTCTCTTTTAAGTCTTTATATGAGTTTCAAGAATCGAATACTTATAATTGCAAGTTTCTTATTAAGAAACCATTGTCTTAATGTAGCAAATAGTAATGTTACAATTCGAATCAAGCCCCTGCGAAGCAAGGCCCCTCCGCTAGTATCTATTAAAGGGATAGGGGTGGTCTCCCCCTTTCGCCAAATGGGCAGCCCTTTAAATCGAACTAAGACAGATTATGTGGGATCGGATAGAGGTGAATTCATATTTGATTCAATCATAAGTGAATCAATTCTCAATATTAATATATATTAAGGGGCTGCCATTTGGCGAAAAAGGAGACCACCCTATCCCTTTAATAGATATACAAGCAAGAATGTCATAGACCAAAGATCATAAATATGAATGGTAAATCCAAATGGCACCTATAGTCAGCATGTTAATTCATCCTTGGCATCACATGATTGCTTATATCTTTTCTTATCAGCTTTATAAAGGTAGAAACTTTCTTGTCCACTAAATACTAGAAATTGAAAGGATTTAGATTTTGAGAATAACTAGTAAACATGTACGTGCATTTGCACGTGACAGTATCTCCAAGATAAAAACTATTTATAATTCATGGATAGTTTTTGAATAGTTATAAGTGGGTAGTTTCTTAATTGTTACAAGTGGACAGCTTTTGAATGGTTATAAGTGGGCAGTTAGAGTGAGAGTAAAGGACATATATGCCCTTTTTTTATACCGTTGTATGTTGCTTAGATAAGGGGTAAAAATGTCTAATGAAAAGTCCAAAAATGAGATTATTCGCTCTTTTATTAATAGTATAGATAATGACAATTCTACTGCATTATCTTAATTTGAACTTGTCATAATGTGAACAATTTAAGGGTTGTTCACCAATATTTTTGATATTGTTTCTTTAAAGAAAAGCAATTATTCTTTTGGTTTAAAAAACAAGGTCATACATATTGTCAAACACCTCGTTAGAGGTTAGAAATCCTCATCATTTAATGTAAGCTCTTTCCGGTATGTGTAACAATTCTGCCAGCCTACATCTTTAGTGAAGGTATCAATCGAATCACTCCAAACCCCAAATCTAGTTCTTCCATGGAAATCCTCGTCATTTGGTGTAAGCTCTTTCCCATATGTGTAACAATTTTGCCAGCCTACATCTTTTGTGAAGATATCAATTGAATCACTCCAAACCCCGAATCTAGTTCTTCTATCTAACCATTTCCTCACAAACCTAAATTTTCCTATCTAAAAGAATAACAAGATCAGACACCAATGCTAGTCAGAATTCGTTTAGCCCCCATTCCTGAAATACATATAAACTACCTTTTTCTTTGGCTGCAATAAATATAAACTACTCTTAAGCTACAATTATTACTCCTGTAAACTTTTTCCCAATTCCCAGTCACCAGACAAGTGTACAACTTTTAATTTAAAACACCACAAAGCAAAGGCTGCATGCAATTTTACCAAGACAAGCAAAACCAACATCAGAAGAAGCCAATCCAGCGGCAGTTGGAAAGTTTATGTACGTGCAATTTGTTCCAACCTTCTTTCTTAATGTGGATCCCCTTGTCCTCATCATCAACACTGGATTTCCCTCAAACAGTTCTGAAATCTACCATCAGAGAGGGAAATCTCCTACACTAACTAGCAAAAGTTAAAATTTTCTTGAGTGAGCAAATACTAAAAAGCATCAGAAATCAAACCTCAACTAGACAAACAAATGAGATATTCATGAAATACACCTTCCCATTGAGCCACATCCTGTCATTCTCGAAATTGGGACTAACAACAACGGTAGTCGTTGTGCAAAGATGCTCTGGATCAAGCGTTACACTAATGTTGTCGTTTACAGGAAGAATTAGGGTTTCATCCCTCTTCCCCCAGTACTTGATGACTGCGATATTCGTTGGAGTTTGAGCAGTCACCATTAGTACCCAGTTCTGCAATTCATTCGCCATTTCAATCACAATGAAATCTGAAAAAAAAAAGAGATATTTATTGATTCTTTCCTTTTGAAACAAAAGTTGAAGAAGTTTCTTCAACTATGAAAAAAATGCCTACTTAAGCTGAGAAATGTAGTTTTATAATGATCAAATGAAACCAAAAAGCTGGAATTTCAACAAATTTAAAGGGAGAAGTTGGACTAGTTTTTTTTCTCGACCTGAAACCGAACAGAAATAGAGAAAATAAAAGTTGATAGTTTACTAATTTGAAGATTGAAAATCAGAGGGAAAACAGATTCCAATAGGTTCCAGAGACGAGAAAAGAAGAAAAGTGAAAAGAAAAAAAAAAAAACAAAAACCCAATTGTTCAAGGTTCCAAATCTCTTAACTGATTGAAGTTAATGGTGAAGAAGAAGCATAATGTTAAAGAGCAATTGCAGAAGAACAATGACTTGAGGTATGCGTCTCTGATCAACTAAGGATTGAAAGAAGGAAACAGCGAGTCTCGACTCAGACTCCATAATCTCAAGAGCGAGACAACTACAACGGGAGACTCAGGTTAATGTGGGGCTCATTTATATAGCAAAATTACTGAACTACAACCAATTTGTAGTTTCAATTGGACCTTGATTTGACAAAGAAAATAGAGCCCATTTTCCATTGCCACTGAGGCCCATCAAATCCTTTGTGGTGAAGCCCAATAAAATAACACAATTAGTCAGCCCAAAAGTAGTTTCCTAAGTTAACATTGTTGGGCTCAGGAACTACATCCTGCCATTTCTTTTTAGAAGACCTTGAGCATAGATCCTGTCATTTCTTTTGTATAAAGAAAAAGAAAAATAGTCATTTTCACTGATGGGCTTAGGAACTACTACATATGGGCCTCATCAAGTGTTTCTTCTAAAAGAAATGGCCATCTTCATAGGCCCAATTGATGTTGCTTCAACCGAATGGGCTTCATTGGTTGGACCTTGGACGCCCTTGTACTCCAAAGAGGATTCCATGTCTGAACAGGCAACTCCTGTCGTCATTTTAGCAAATAGATAGGGAAATTTTTGTAATTTAGCACCCAAATTTCTCTAGTCTATTTTTTTGTTGTCTTCACACAAAAAAACTGCCCAACCCAACCCTGTAGACCAAACTCAACAACAGAAACCTGAGTATCCAACAGGAGCGCTCACACTAGAAAATCTGTGTGAACCCCTCGTGTCCATCTATCATTGGCTCCAAAACCATAAGCAACCCGCAATATTCACCAATTTTTTTCCCATGTAAGCATTATTGTCCATCCGTCGATTTTGGGTAGGTCATACCCCAAAGCCGACGGACTTAAATGCATGACCATCACCACGGTCCGGAGAAGTGGGTAGCGTTGTGGAACACGTTAGCATAGCTCCAAAACCACAAGCAACCCGGAATATTCACTAGCTTTTTTACCCATGTAAGCGCTACTGTCCATCCGTCGGTTTTGGATAGGTCATACCCCAAAACCGACGGACTTAAATGCACGACCATCACCACGGTCCATAGAAGTGGGTAGCATTGTGAAACACGTTAGCATAGCTCCAAAACCAGAAACAACCCAGAATATTCACCAGTTTTTTTTTCCCATGTAAGCGCTACTAACTATCCGTCGGTTTTGGGAAGGTCAATGGACTTAATCGCATGAACATCACCACGGTCTATAGAAGTGGGTATCGTCGTAAAACACGTTAGCATAGCTCATACCACCAAGAGTGAGAGCACATGCTGTGTCTATTTTGAAAGTTGGGAATCATGTGAACTCAAATAGAGTCGTGGTTGGTGAGGAGGGACCATTTGATGGAAAATTCACTAAAATAATAATAAACAATATTAGATCGAGTGGTGGACATCATAGTCTGGTGAAGCATCTTGACCGTTAATTAGCAAGTCGCATATTATAACAATAGGATCTGACTTGGCAAAGACTTTCCTCTGCTGAACTGGGAGACGTTGGAACACTTTGCAGTTTGCACATTTTCTCTACTTACGTCGGACTCAGAAATCAGAATCTTGTGTGAACGTCAACATCCCCATTAGATTATTTTAGGATAATTGGACTGCAATCTACCTCAGAAATCTGAAATTGCAGCCCCCTCCTAGATTTTATATATTTAAAAAATAAAATAAAATAAAATATATTTAGAAATTTCCATCTTTTATTTTGATAACTAAAATTTAGCGGAGGGCCCTATTTCGCACGGGTTGGAATGAAATTGCAACATTGCTATTTGCTACTTAAACAAGACAATGGTTTCTTAATATAAAATTTGCAATTATAAGTACTCAAATCTTGAAACTCATATAAAGACTTAAAAGTGATCATCGCGTGCTTCTTTTTTTAAATATTGCTTCAGCAAAGCATTTTATATAAAAGAATATGATCATGCAGTGATAGTTTTGAGCTCTACTTCATAGTTGTTCTTTGTTTCACATCGAGAACTCCTAGTTGACCCGGACATTAGGACCGTTCGGCCTGTGAATCATCTAGGCAACCAGTTCCGTTTTACCTTACCCCAAACCCGGTCCCTGGCAAAAAATCGTCGAATCAGTCAATGACCTGTTGACCTAGGTTATCAACTTGTCGACCCGTTCAACGTTTTTTGCCCATTTTTTATTTTTTAATTTTTGTTGTTAGAATGGGCCATGCATTCTGGAAACCGATGGCCAAAACAATTTTGTTTTTGGGTCGTTTTTTCTAGATGCCAATAATTAGACGAAATAACTTTGTAGCCATAGTCATGGGAATGGTGGACATTGCAAGGGATTCCAAAACCTTGAAAGATAATTCCAAAGTGACCTTAAACACAGAAAAAATTGGTGGTAAATCCACTAAACTGGAAAAACCAAGGAAAAAAATCAAAATATTGAGTCCAAAGTTCCACTTTGAGACGAAGCTAAATATACATGCAATCAAAGAAAGAGATAAAGTAGACTTTCTTGTAAGAAAATTAAAAAAAAAAACATTGCACAAGAAAACCCAAAGGAAAAAACAAAATGGAAGAAATAAAATGGTGGTAAACCCCCATTTTGGAGGATCTTGAAGAAGAAAACCAAATACAAAAAAAGAAAGCAAAAAATGAAAAAAATGAACATACCGCACACGTTTGAATAAAACCAACGGTATAAGAAACCTTTTGAGTAGTGAAAATCCAAAAGCATAAAAAAGAATGGTTTTTGAACCGTCGTTGACTCGAACGGACGGACATTTCGTCCTAGGAACTGTCCAGGCAACCAATTATGTTTTTCCCCAATCCCGGTCCCTGGACAAAAACCGTTGAATCGACCAACAACCCATTGACCCAGGCGATCAAATTGTCGACTCGTTGACCTATTCAATGGTTTTTTACCGTTTTTTTATTTTTTAATTGGGAACTGTCCAGGCAACCGGTTCCGTTTTATCCCAATCCCAATCCTTGGCCAAAAACTGTGGAATCAATCAATGACCCATTGTCTCGGGTAGTCGAACTGTCGAATGTTGACCCATTCAATCGTTTTTTGCCGTTTTTTATTTTTTATTTTTAATTTTTGTTGTCAAAACATGTTGTCTGATCAAATTGGGTGGTTGAACCATCGACAGAAAAATCGATGGCCAGAACAGTTCCGTTTTCGAGTCGTATGAGTCACACACATGAATGACATGACACATATGATACTACTTAATAAACCTCACACACTCAAAATTTTATCTGTAATTTTTGTTGTCAGAACAGGTTGTCCGTCGAACCGAACGGTCGAACCGCCATTTTTTTAATCGGGAACCGTCTAGGCAACGGGTTCCATTTTACCCCAATTCTTGCCCCTGGCCAAAAACCATTGAATCAGTCAACGACCCATTGACCCAAGCGATCAAACCGTCAACCCAAAAACTGGTGGCCAAAATGGTTCCCTTTTTGGGGCGTATGAGTCACACACTAGAATGACATAACACGTATGATACTGTTTAAGGGATCTCACACATTCAATTTTTTTCCTGTAATTTTTGTTGTCAAAATGGGTCGTCTGTTCGAACTAGACAGTCGAACCGTCGATCTGAAACCGATGGCTAGAACGGTTCCATAATTTATATATATATATATATATATATATATATATAAGAATAAGAATTCCTGATGTGCAGCTCGCTGAATATAGCCAACAACGTGTCACTGGTCAGAAGATCTAGACTCTTCATTAGGTGGTGTTTGTCGAGATGGGGATGTTCCCAATGGGTTGTGGGGCATGGTTAGAGGTGTAAAGTGGGCCGTCCCGGCATGGCCCATGGGCGGCCTGCATAAAGTGCGTGTTGTGCCATGCTGGCCCACGGGCTGTATGGGCCGTGTCACTCTCTTTGGTGAAAAATTTTGGGGTCATCCCGACATGGCCCACGGCCCAAGCCCGTGCGGGCCCATGTCGTGCTGCGGGCTGGGCTGGCCCATGGGTTGAGCCTTGGGCCAGGTTGGGCCGTGCATTGGGCCAAAGCTATTTATTTAAAAAAATTGACAAAAACTTAAAATTTTAATTTTTTATGAATTTTGTATATACAATAATTAAATAAATTAGTATAATAAAATTAAAAAATATTTATTTTATTAATATATTATATACTATATATTATTATATAATATTATATAAATATAAATATATATATATATATGAGCCATGCCGGACCAGACTGTGGGCTGAGTCGTGCTGACCCATGGGCCGCAGGTGGCATGGCTTGCTTGATCGTGCCGTGCCATACTGGCCCATAGACCTAAAACCCCAAACCTAACACGACCCACATGATTTACACCTCTGGGCACGGACTATAGGGAGCCCATCTGAACTTGTGTTTGCAACCTTGTGGGAATGTTCGTGTGTAAAAAAAAAATAACGTGGGTAGAGATGTGGGAACTGCTTGTGGGCAGCAGATCCGAGCACTTACAAATTATTCTGCCCAAACTAGGTCCCGAAAATGTGATAAAGTTGGAGGTTGGGCATTTAGTCGAACTTGGCCCAGCCTTAGGCCAAGCTTAAGCCTACTGTGAAGCTTGAAGGGCTGAAGGTTTCCCAAAAGGAAATTAGGGTTTTCCACATTAGCGAGAACTGAGAACTAGTGCTCGGTAAGCAAGAACCTAGTAAAAACAAATAAACCCTAGAAGGCTAAAATCTAAAACCTGATATGAAAGCGAGGAGCTCGAAGAAGATCCGACCATTCTCGTGGTGAACGACATTGACTACAGGGACTGCAGTTCGTTAAAGCCATTCATAAAGTTCCTTGGCAAAATACCTTTTTTATCAAACCGTTCGAGACTCAAGAGTTGGGAGGGTATCTTCTGAGTTCTTAGATCGCCAAACAAATCCCGGTAATCTTTTCGCAGCCTATCTAGAGGGACTATATAATCTTTGTTTCTATCCACACGCAGACCGCCTTTCCATTGTTAACATCGTCAAGCGTGTGCGTGTGCACAAGTTTGGGGAAAATGGAGGTGATGCCTTTTTCTTCATTTTCTGTTACAAAAGTTCCCATCTTTCGATCATCAGCTCTTTCCCCCTCTCTCAACTACCTTCCTCAAGATGTTTGCGGGCAGAAATTTAAACTTAAATCAAGAAAATTTTCAGTTTGTGCTGCTGCCAGCGGAGGAGATTCTGTTGTTACTCTGTTGGATTATGGTGCTGGCAATGTCCGAAGTGTAAGGAATGCCATTCGGTACCTTGGTTTCGACATTAAAGATGTTCAATGCCCTGAAGATATTCTCAATGCGAATCGCCTTATCTTTCCTGGGGTTGGGGCTTTCGCTGCAGCCATGAATGTGTTGAACCAGAAAGGGATGGCTGAAGCACTATGTACATATATACAAAGTGATCGGCCTTTTTTAGGTATTTGTCTTGGACTTCAGCTCCTTTTTGAATCTAGCGAGGAGAATGGACCGGTCAAAGGACTGGGATTGGTACCTGGTGTGGTTGGACGTTTCGATTCATCTAATGGTTTCAGAGTTCCTCACATTGGTTGGAATGCCTTGAAAATTGAAAGCAACTCAGGGATTTTGGATGATATTGGAGGACGCCATGTTTATTTTGTTCACTCGTACCGTGCAATGCCCTCAAATGATAACAAAGATTGGATCTCATCAACGTGCAACTATGGTGATAATTTCATTGCATCCATTAGAAGGGGAAATGTGCATGCTGTTCAGTTTCACCCAGAAAAGAGTGGAGTTGTTGGTCTTTCCATATTGAGGAGGTTCCTGCAAGCAAAACATTATGGGGTACAGAGGCCAATTGAAAGGGAAGCTTCAAAACTTGCAAAGAGAGTAATCGCTTGCCTTGATGTAAGAGCAAATGATAGAGGAGACCTTGTTGTAACGAAAGGCGACCAGTATGATGTAAGAGAACATACTAAGCAGAATGAGGTCCGTAACCTTGGCAAGCCAGTGGAGCTTGCTGGACAGTATTATAAAGATGGGGCTGATGAGGTTAGCTTTCTGAACATTACAGGATTCCGTGACTTCCCTTTAGGTGATTTACCAATGCTGCAGGTACTACGTTATACATCAGAAAATGTTTTTGTACCACTAACTGTTGGTGGTGGAATACGGGATTTCACGGATGGAAATGGGAGGCACTATACTAGTTTAGAAGTTGCATCAGAGTATTTTAGGTCCGGTGCAGATAAGGTTTCCATTGGAAGTGATGCGGTTTATGCTGCAGAGGAATATCTGAGAACTGGAGTGAAGACTGGAAAGAGCAGCTTAGAGCAGATTTCCAGAGTTTATGGAAATCAGGCAGTTGTTGTAAGTATTGATCCCCGTAAGGTGTATGTCAAGAATCTTGATGACATAGAGTTCAAGGCTGTAAGAGTTAAGGTTCCAGGTCCAAATGGAGAAGAATATGCCTGGTACCAGTGCACGGTCAATGGTGGACGAGAGGGTCGGCCAATTGGAGCTTATGAGCTTGCAAAAGCAGTTGAGGAATTGGGAGCTGGGGAAATATTACTGAATTGCATCGATTGTGATGGTCAAGGGAAAGGATTTGATATAGATCTAATAAAGCTGATCTCAGATGCTGTGTCCATCCCTGTCATAGCGAGTAGTGGTGCTGGTGCAGTTGAACACTTCTCAGAAGTTTTTCGAGAAACAAATGCTTCTGCTGCACTTGCAGCTGGAATTTTTCATCGGAAGGAGGTACCCATTAAATCTGTGAAAGAGCACTTACTAAAGGAAGGTGTAGAAGTCCGAATGTAATCCAGGCCCTCTCTTTAAAAGTTTTTGATACATTGACTTTGCTTCTCCCTTCATCTTGATTAGAGCTTCTGTTATCAGCATAGAAATTTCTGAAGTATGGTGGAATAGAAGGTGATAAAACTGTTTATGCACAGTTGCTAGTTTGATCAATGTCAACCTTGAAAATGTTTACCTACTTTCTTTTTTTTTTCTGCAGCAAAAGAGAGCTTCGTTACTATTTATCATAATTATTTACATTGGAATCCAGCATATCATTAGCAATATACATATAAAATAAAAAGAGGTTAGCATGTGTTGTATTTCAGCTTTGTTGCAGTAATTTCCCATGAGTCACTGTTATTAGAAGTGTTCATACTATTCAAAAGCTGCAGAGCATCAGAACACTGAACAGATCAGTAAACTTTTGATTTTCCTGTTAATTGCTTCATGAATGCCATGCTTTTAAAGCCTACCACTCAGCTTCACTATTGCTGCCAATTTTGATTGGTCTTCCTGCAGCAAACAATAGATTTCTTGGATTGTTAAGTAGCACTACTGTAGCACAACACCTGTAGCTCCAGAGACAGGTTCCTGTTGAAAAGAGCCAGCCACATACAATGTATAGGCATATTGATGCATGTTTGAACCAGGTGCCTCCAGTACTTGATCTCTTGCTTCAGGGATCTCCTTATCCATGCAGTAACTACTTATTTTTTCAATCAACTTCAGTGGCCACATACAATGTATAGGCGTATTGATTAGGGCTGTCAATTATACCCGAAAATCTGAGACCCGATACAACATCTGATCTGCTTATATTGGATTCAGATGATGTATATATCTAATAAGACATGATTCAGATGATACAATCTACATCCGATTAATAATCGGATCGGATTCGGATTTGACTCCATCCGATCCGATTAAAGTTCGAATCCGATTATAATATAACATTTTTTAATTTTAACACATATAAGTATTATATAATTATATTTAAAATTATAATAAATATATTCTATATATTATATTATATGTGAATTTATGTATATAATAAATTTAGTGTGTTATATTTATATTAATTTATTATATATAAAGGTTAAAAAATAAATAAATTTTCAATATTTCTGTTATTTTAGAAAATTTGTAGTGGAGTCGGATTAAATCCAAATCTGATCCAAGTCCATTAGGATTCGGATTCGAATCCGAGTCTTTAAATCCAATTGGATTTTGAAACGGATTTGGATGTATGCTATCAGTAGCCTGATCGGATGTGAATTTTGCTGCATTGGGTCTGAGTCGATCCAATTACAGCCCTAATATTGATGCATGTTAGAACCAGGCACCTCCAGTACTGGATCTCTTGTTTCAGGGATCTTCTTATCCATGCAGTAACTATTTATTTTTTCAATCAACTCCAGTGGAGTTATGTATTTGTACTTTGCTGTCATGCACTTTTGAGGTACTTTTACATAAGGCGGGTCAAGATCATGACTTTGCCCATGTATTGGCATCTAGGCTATGTTTGGTTTGATGCTACAGGCCTCATTGTTTAAATTCTTACTCATTCTAAGTAAGAATGAGCAAGAATGGATAATATGAGTGTTTAGTTACAAAATTCTTGCCATGAGCCTCATTCTTTTTAAAATGAGAAATGGGCCACTGGCTAAAAATAACATTAGCCCATGGTACAAAAAAATATTGTGCCTCAATTGAGAAAAATTCTTTAGCCATTCTTCCAAGGCATTTTCTATTGCAACAACACCATCTCTTTTTGTCAAAGATATTCAAACCTTCCGTGGCTGATGATCTGTGCTACCCATGCTAAAGATTTCTGATCTTTGATAAAGGTTGATGATCTGTTCTATATCTTCATCATCTTCTCATAATTCTATTGTGTTCATCTGTTCTTTCTCTTTGGATTTGATGATATATGGATCCTCTTCTAAAGTGTACATGCATCTTAGTATATGAGGGCAAGCAAGATGCCTTGGGCAGCAATAAACCCTAGTTTTGGGTTTTCACTGTTGCCATTTAGTTTGGGTGAGTATGACCCTCCACTACTGCAACTGTTCTTTCAAGATATTTTTTGTGTAGGAGATCACTTTTTTAATGATTCTGATCAGAGAATCGGATCTGCATTTGCTGTTTGAAGCCTTTGATGTAATTGGCTAGCTTTGTTTGATTTTCAGGTCAGGAGAGTCATTTCTACAGGAACCCAGGGAAGCATAAATGGTAGCCATGAGGTACTCTGCTACTTCATTTAATAACAAATATTATTTATTACAAGAAGTCATTTGATTTTATATATTTGATAATGTTATTGTCATTAACATTGAGAATGGCTGTTTAAACTTGTTAATTTGTGGCCTAAAATTTGGGAATTTATTTTAGTAAGAAGAGACAGGGCTAGAGACTCCCTGGAAACTAGGGTTCGAACTTTGAAGGCAGTCCAATATTGAGGTTGAGTAATTAGATGAAAAGCAGCATTATATCCTCTTGGAATATAGGATATATTACATCTCTCAAAATCAGGAAGTTTGTTGTTTAATTCTTTGAGATGTAGCTGTTTTAGGGATTTCCCCTTTTTCCTGATTCTGTTTTACCTATTTGCTATTTCTCAACGCAAAATAGATTTATAAATGTGAATTACTTTTTAGTTCTCAATCCGAAGTAGTTAGTTCCCACTTCTCAATGCAAAATAGATATTCTGTTTAGATTTGGGTCAACATTTTAGTGTTTCAATTTAATAGTGTCACCGGTTTCTGTTATAAAAAAAGAAAAAGAAAAAGAAAAAGTTAGTTCCCACTTCTCAATGCACACAACATGTTTTGTGTGCTCTGTGTTGTGAATTGTGAAGAGAATTTGAGGGACTTGATTTTTTTATTAGTTCTTGTATTGATCTTTTCAAGTAAATGTGACAACCATGTTTTTATCTGATTGATTAATACATCTCAAGAGGTTCTGGCCTGGGATTTTAAAACCAAAGCTGAATTCTCTTTTGTTTGTTCTATTTCCTTCAATTTATTTATTTGCCTTGCATAATTCTTCTTAACAATAGCAATTCATGGGGTATTAAAGTCATACTAAGAGAACCATGGAGTAATTGCAACCTCTCTGTATGTGCAGGTGCAAGGCTGCACACATCTGTCCCTCCCAGACGCCGCATTGGCGGGAGCCTTGTTCATTGGGCTGCCCCTACTAAGGGAACCATGTAGCCCATATGAATATTAAAGGTACCTTTTGCTGTAATTATTCTTTGCTAACTCCTGGAGTTGAGATTACTTTGTATGGACTAGAGAAGTCATATAGAAACATCCATTTTACACAACTTTAGTCCAAAGCAGTTAATTTCTAAAAAAAAGTAAATTACTGAGTTTGTACAGAATGCAAGATTTCTTGCTGCAACTATATAACTGCAACCTTTCTGTTAGGGGGACCACCAAGCATACAGGCTTGATGAGAATGGAACGTGGGTATGCATGCATACCCATGCTATGGAAGATGGATATGCATAGGCTTCATAAAACAATGTCATCACAAGAGACTATGGGTTGGACATCATAACGGTGGACCATGGATCCTTTATTTGTACTGCCATTACTATCTATTGTTTTAATGGTAATAAACGTGAATATGTCCTGTTTTTCCTTCTAGGTAATCGGGAATAAACACATGGTTGTGTCCTGTTTATAGGACATATTGAGAAGTAACTACTTACTACTAGCGGTTAATTGTTTGCAGTGTACATCCTGCGGTATACTGGTATTTCTTTGCTATATATAGGTCTTGTAGGATATGAAGAGATAGGTTAACAAAGTGGTCTTTCAGTTGGGGCAGGACAAACGTGTAAAAACTTTGGAAGAGCATAGTAAGGCTGATTAGGTGGTTCAACCTTCAGTTGACAGCGAAATGTTTGCTAAGGTTCTCCTTGTCTGCTTCACTTACAAGAAAGATTGCTGAAGGATAGTCATAGTGCTGGTTTTGATGTCATTAGTCATTACTTATGAAAACAGAGAGGTGTTGGTGGAGAAATTTGGGGTGTTGGGTGGGCTTCAGCAGAGTAGTGTTGCTGAGAAGGAAAGGGATACGAATTTGGAGGTGAACAACTATTATGGTGAATCTGAGATATGGGTGGTGCATGATTCTGAGTGAATTGAGAGTACTGTGGCTTTGAGGGGAACCAGTTCTTCCAAAACAACAGTTGAGTGTAACATAAATTTGTGGGAGACTGAGGAAGTAAATTAGGAAAGGATTTATATCAAAGGTGGGGAAACCGGACAAGGATTTGGGGAGGAAGAGACTAGATTTGAGTATGGAAAATGTGGCTAAAGGGGCTAATGCTAAAAGCAAAATGTCTTTGAAGTCAAAAATTCAAAGGGTCCAATTGATAGGCAGCTGGTTCATGTGACAGGTTTTTTCACGTCTGAAGGAGGGGATGTAGAGGGAAGAAGTTGAAATCAAAGCCAGAAATAACGAATAGGAGGTTGAGGACTTAAATGCTAAACAGGATCTAGCACCTTTAGAGGTGGGGGCTGCTGTTTCTTTTGAGCCACAACCTGAGGAATCGGATCAATATCATGATACGAATGATTCTGATTTGGAGGATTGGATTTACAGGAATGTGATGATAACGAGGTAGTGGATCAACCGATCAAGTAAGAGAAGTGGAGAATAAAATAAGGTTGGAAGTAGTAGAGATGGAAGTCCAAGTAAGCAAAATAATGATCCTTTTTTCCGGGGGGTGGGGGTGGGGAAGAGTTCACATGGCAAGCTTTTTTGAATTTGGAGAGAAGAAAGTTAAGGCTAGTGTTGCTAGATGTGGAAAAGTAGGAGAGGAGTTGGGGTAGTCTCTGTTTTTGTGAGGAGGGTGTCATCTGTTTAGATCCTCATGGTATGGAGGGTGGATTGATATGGGCTTTTTTTTTTTTTTCCTGGGGTGGTCTTGTGAGTGAGTTTGAAGGTTTTCTGGGGTGTTTTATGTTATTTGTTCTCTTTCCTTGTTTGGTCTGGGTGATTTCTGATCACCTGGCATTGTACCTCTCTTTCTTCTGTTTTAATGAATTTTCTTTTTATTTATCTTCAAAAAAAGGAGATTAGTTACAGTTCATGCAGAGGATCCAGATTTTTCTTCTTAGTAAGGTGCAGAGTAAAGAGAGTAATACACTTTGTGGGTAGAAGTGCAAAATCAGGTTGCCTGATTTTTGAGAATTTCAATTACATGACACTTGGTTCTGGGCTGCACTACATTCAAAATTTTCAGGTTCAAGGATATATTCTTATTTACACTTTTAATGGATAACAGAATATTTCGGGCTCATGACTAGGCCACAGCTGCTGAGTAGGGGTGTCAATTGGACTGGATTTGGTCCAATCCGATCCAGTCCAATGTGATTCCATTATAAATGGACCAGGTCCAATCCAATCCAATGAATCTTTTGGACCAATTTGGACCAGTCCAATTCAATGTCTGGACCATCCAATCTGTTCAAATTCATTTTGATTTAGATTGGTTTCAACCCAAACCCAGTCCATTGACACATATATTCTTATCTTATATCAATGGACCAGATATTGACTTAATCCAACCCAATCCAATATAAATTTGTTACAGACGGACCAGGTCCAATCCAATTTTGGACTAGATTGGTCCAATCCAATGTCTTGTTGGTCTGACCAATCCAAAGCAACGTATCACATCGCCATGACTATAAATTACTTTCTGTAGACAAATACGTGGGAGTGAAAAAGCCAAAAAAGTTTCTCAAGGCTATGTTTGGTTTGACAGAAAATGAGAAAGAAAGGGTGAAATTTCGATAACCAATCCGAACCCTCCATTGGGTTAGTTAGGATATGTTAGAACTTGTTTAACTGCGTTCATCGATGTACCTTTTTTTTTTTTCTTTTGAAAGTGGCATTTGTCAGTGGCACTGAAGAGTTGCAAGCCACCAGATCTTGTAACGGTTGAATGAGGACCGCAAAAAAAAAAAAAAAATTCTTTTTCAGTGTATAAAACAAATCTTCTTTTGCTCTTTTACATATGGGTAGGTTATAAAAGTAATTTCTTATTTTCTTTTATTTGTTTTAAATTAATTATATTATTTTCTAAGCTGGCCCACAAAACGCCATCCGGGTTGAATGGTTTGACCATCTGGGTCAGCGGTTTTGTGCCTAAATTAACGTTTTTTATAGAAATGTGGGTCAGGTGAATCAGAATTAGAAATATGAATAGTTTCTGGGTTGAACGGTTCGGCCGTCTGAGTCATGGCGTTTTAACACTGCTCTACATATTTATATTTGTACTTTTTTCCGAACTGAGACTTATGAACTGTTCAATAATGGTTGAAGTGCCCGAATGGCTTGTGGCAACTTGCTTTGTCTTCCTGCTGATAAATTTGTCATGTAGTATTAGGATATTTAGAGGTCTATCTATCAACACAACATTTTATTCGGCCATTAAATAAGTCATTATGAAGTTGCAAGACCTTTATGGTTGAACGCAATAGGCTGAATCGTATTTCGGGTTGACAACAATTCCCCTAAATATTCTATTACATAAAGACAAACATGTGGCATTTGAAAAATCTGAAATCTGAAAAGTTAAAAAGATATTAATGGTGTCTGAAATCTAAAAAGAGACATAGGATTTTCGACTTTTTAGAGGCTCTGAACAGAAAATGTTCTGTGTTGGATCAAATCTTTAGTATCTGAAATTCCTTAATTTTACTATTTTACCCATAGAACATACTATTTGGTAATTTTGAGTTCAATTTGTACTATTTTATAAAATACAATTTATTAAATTCAAAATAATATTGAAAATATGAACAAATTATGATAAATTATAAAAAATTAAAAAATTATTAAAATAAGAATAAAAATGAATATATATAAATTAAAAATAAATAATTAAAAGTTAAAATAATAAGAAAATAGTAATAAAGTCCATGAAGCAATGAAAAAATATTTAATAATTATCAAAATATTAAGTTAAACCTATTAAACTATTTAATAATTAAAAAATTCAAATAATTAATAATTAATGCAAATAAAAATTATAAAAAATAATAATAAAATGCATATAAATTTATAAATTAAAAATAAATTATTAAGAATAAAATTCGAATGACACTATTGAGAGTTGCAGCAATGGTGGTGGGAAGACATGGGCATTTTTGTCTTTTAATGCAGTCTGAAAAATGTCTGAGCACATTAAGTCATTGGCCTACCTCTTACAAATTCAAATATAAAAATGCATTTCAGATCTGAATTTTCAAACTCAACCCAAATATATGTGACCTCTGAAAAGCAATATTTTTCAGATTTTAGAGGTCTGAAAAGTGTTATCAAACGCCACCTAAGTCAATCATTCAGCCACATGAACTATTATGCTGCAACTCCCAAGTAATTTCAATATCACTAATGTGGGTACATATCCTTTTTTATAAAGAAGGCATGCCCTTAGTAAAAAAGACAAAGAAAGCATGGTTTGTTTGGAATAAAAGTCAGAACAAGGGTGTATTTTTTCATGCTTAGGGGTAATTCAACTCTAAAAAAATGGGATTAATTTTTAGAAATTCGGATGACACATCAAATCATAAAAGGAAAAAATGTAGGCCTTTTTATCAACCAAGTTGTTCAACCTCAAAAGTAGGAACAGTCATGAATATGCTATGTCAGATTTAGCACCTGACTTGAGGGGATTAACCTAGGTTCGAGACACTAACCGAAGCTCAAAATATAGGCCCAAGCCGGGCTGGACACAACCTTGGTCAAAACTTGTAAATTTGTGGGCTAAGCAAAGCTAAATTAAGAATGAATCATCATCATCAACAACTATACGCTTAGAATGATGAAACCTACTTAAAATCATTTGTTTTTTTTGAACTTCAAAGTTTGCGCTTGGTTCAATTGATATGATTATCATAGATAAATATTTTAAAATCCTAGTCCATGATGCATTTATGAATATTTGTTGCACATTAGATCAAGATTTCAACAAATCACATTGAAGCTATTATAGTCTATTTAATTTTTAGGAAAATTTTGTACTAGGCCTTTGTAGAAATATTTATCGTCGAAAGAAATGTGTCATCCATATATTTTGAAATACCTAAAATGCCCATTGAATGCCACCTCATCCATATTTAGAAATCCCCAAAATGCCCATTTCACACAAGAACGGTAAGTTCCCTTTCCTCTTCCACTATTCACTCTCATATTCATTTTCACATCCTTCGAACAACTTAAACACATTCACTAGAAAATCTACAATGCAAAACCTTCGATCCTTTTTGCCAGTGCACACCGATGGAAACAAAGATATCTCCCTCATCTCCCATTGGCTCCCATCTTCGTTTTCACCTCCACAAAATAGCCTAAAGTAAA